CTTGTGCTGCTCTCCTTGTCCTAAAGCAGGACCCAGGAAAGGCCAAAGTTTTCACAATGAAACCTGCCGTCCACAGGCTTGAGGAAGGGAGTGTCAGGGAAGGAAGTTCACCTTGCTAGGACCTGATTCAGCTGCAGGCTGCCCCCCCGGGCCAGCAGGTGGCACTGTGAGCCTGGCCCTCTGGGTCCCTTTGGGGCCTCAGTTTCATTCTTTGGGACAAAAGCAGGAGCTGCACCCAATCTGCAAACCTTCAGCTAGCTTCAGCTAGATTTTAGAGCCTGTTTGAAAAAGGAAGATGCTTCCTTTTATTCAATTTTTACTGTGTAACAGGCATATACTGTATAATCCCCATTTTGCAGAGGAAGACTTGTGGCTCAGAACAGTGAGTGTCTTCACACCCGATAGAGGCAGATGTGGGATTTGAGCCCTGGTGCCCACGCCCGCAGAACCCAAACCCTTAACAGCTCTAGCCCCCATGCCTCCCTCTTGTGCCTCCTGTGTCAGCTCAGCGCTCAGGCCAGCCTTCCCATGCCCTTCCCACCTGACGCTCTGGGTGGCCAGGGTCCTCCATCTGCTGGTGAGCTCCTGCCGCCTCTCCCTGATGGTCACTGGTATCTCAAGTCATTCTAACTTGCTTCCTGGCTTGGCCACCATACTATTTCACACCTCCAGACCTTGGCGTATGCTCTCCCTCTGCCTGGAACATGCTCCCTTTTCCGTCCCTGAGTGCCCCTCACTCCCTTTTACCTCCCTAAGTCCTACTCCCCCTTTGCAGACTCCTAAGATCTGCCAAAGGGGCCAAGGGCCCTACCGGGTGCCCTCCCCGTGTACATCCTTCCCCTGCGAGGCACTCCTCTCAGCATGTGGAAACTCTGTGTTTCCATTGGAAGCAGGACCAGTGTTCTGTTATCCCTTTACACACAGTGCCTAGAATGAGGCCTGGCATGCCAAGAGGCGTGGGAAGTGTTGTTTTCCCCCATCCAAGGCCCAGTGGGAACAGCCTGTCCTGCCTTCTTGCCCTGGCACAGGAGCCTCAGCCGGGCTTCTCCTTTGACAGAAAAAAGGCATTGGGCCCTAATTTCATTAAATTTTTTTTGTACTCAGGATTCCAGTTCCCCCATTTTTTTTTTGTTTGGAAACCATTCTTCAGGATAAATTTAAGCCACAGTTCAAAACCTAATACAGTAAAAGGATAGAAAGGTACAAATTAAGAACTTACAGAAACATCCATCTGATAAAACAACACCCAATTCTGCGTGTCCTGGAGTTCTTGCTCCAGCTGCTGTCTGCCTGGAGTTCCTGAGTGGGCATGGAAGAGGGGTCTTGGCCATAGCAATGTGGCAGGGTGGGGGCCAGATGACTCCCAGGACCTCCGCCTCTCTCCTCTCCCACAGACGTCCAAGAAGCTGATAAACTCGGTGGCAGGCTGTGCTGATGATGCCCTTGCTGGCCTGGTGGCCTGCAACCCCAACCTGCAGCTCCTGCAGGGCCACCGTGTGGCCCTCCGTTCTGACCTGGACAGCCTCAAGGGCCGAGTGGCATTGCTGTCAGGTGGTGGATCCGGCCATGAGCCTGCCCACGCCGGTGAGTACCCTGGGCTAGAGGTACAGGGTGGGTGCTAGGCAGAGTGGACGAGGCCTCCAGAGAGACTGTCACTGCTACTAGGAGGCACAGGACAGAGGCCGGCCCAGAGTTAGGAACCAGGTCCTAGTTCCCGCTCTCCTATACCTCAGACTATAATTTGAGTCCAGTCATGGTCTCTCTCTGGGCCTCAGTCTCTGTATCTTATAAAAGTAGGAGGTTAGGCCAAATGATCTTCCAGACCCTTGCAGCTCTGAGAGTCAGTGATTCTGTGAATCCTCCTGGCCTTCCAGACCCGGCTGACCCATCCCCTCCTCCATGAAGCCTTCCTGACTCTTTCAGCCTAGAGGGACATCCTTTTTCTGGATTCCTACCCTGCGTTTTCACATACAACATGGACAACCCTGGATTGTTTCTTGTTCAGTTCCACGCATGTGAGCTCTCCTTGAGAGCTCCTGGGAGCAGGGACCAGGCTTTATATCATCTATACCTTTGCTGTCTCCCTTTGGCAAATCCATCCACCCATTCAACAAACGTTAACGAGTATCCACTGTGTGCCTGGACTGTTCTGGGCACAAGAGATGCAACAGTGAACCAGACAGGGGTGCCTGCCCTCCTAGAGCTTCCGTTCTCTGGGGAGACAGACAGTAACCAGGTAGACATATAAGTGAAAGAGATCATTCCAGATTATATAAATGAGTCTATGAAGACAAGAACAGGGAAAGGAAGAGCAAGCCACAAGGCTGGGGTAGGTGACAGTTTCAGTTGTGGGGGTCAAGGAAGGCCTTTCCAAGAAGATAACTCCTGAGCGAGCATCTGTAGAGAGCAACCTGGGTGCTTTTCTTGCATTAAGCACACAGTAGGGCCCACCAAACCATGAAGCCCAGGAGCATGGAAAGGCCCAGGGACAGCAGATACGGGTCCCCACCCAGCATCTTCTCCCCACCCCTCCCTTCTCCAGGTTTCATAGGGAAGGGGATGCTGACAGGGGTCATTGCGGGAGCTGTGTTCACCTCCCCAGCCGTGGGCAGCATCCTGGCGGCCATCAGGGCAGTGGCCCAGGCAGGCACAGGTAAGCCTGGCATGCAGGAGGGGCTGCTGCCAGGAGGGCAGGCTGGGGGGTGGTGAGGGCATGCACTGATGGGGCCCTGCCGGCTGCTCCTGCAGTGGGGACCCTCCTCATCGTGAAGAACTACACTGGGGATCGCCTCAACTTTGGCCTGGCCCGGGAGCAGGCCCGGGCTGCGGGCATCCCTGTGGAGATGGTGGTCATTGGGGATGACAGTGCCTTCACCGTCCTGAAGAAGGCAGGCAGGCGGGGACTGTGTGGCACAGTGCTCATACACAAGGTAAGGTGTCCCCACCTGAACACAGGCTGGCCAGCCCCTTCCAGTCTGCTGTCTCCTGGCAGCACCTGGTACCTGGACCTTTCCAGCCATCCCACCCCACAGGAAGCCACTCCTCCTCCAGTGCTTCCTGAACCAGGAAGGCCCCACATCCCCTCTACTACCTAAACCCAGCATATAGGCATTCTCCCAGGCCCTTGGCTTCCCATGCCCCACACCCAGCATCGCCCTGTCCTGGTGACCCTAATCCCAGGTGCCTCTACAACACACATCCTCCTCGGAGCCCCGCCCTTTCTCTCCCAGCCTCGGTTCAGCGCTCATCTGCTCGTGCCCAGGTGCCAGTAGCCACCTTCTCACTGGGCTCCCCTGCCTGCTTCCTGCTTGCGCATCCAGTCTGTTCCCACACTACCCTGGAGGTGTTTTTTTGAAGATGTGCGTCTGACCAGGCTGCTCGCTTGCCAAAAGGCTTCTAGGGTCTTTGAGTCAGTCAGCCCAGGCTTCTTGGTCAGGCCCCACCATACTGTAGCCCCTCCTCCCCGACTTTCCAAGTTCACCTCCCATCATCCCTACCATCCTCTTATGCCCCACTAACCCCCATCTCCTGTACCACCTCTGGGGCTTTCCTGGTGCTGTATCTATAGCCTCGAAAGTCCTTTCCCCGTCCAGCCTGCGCTGGCTTGGCTAACTCCTACTGTCCCATCAAATTCCGGTTCTGATGTCTCCCCATCTGGGAGGACACCCCTGTCGCTACACCGAGCTGGTTAGTAGCTTCTCCTCGCCTGCCAAAAGGCCTCTAGGGTCTTCGTGTCAGTCAGCCCAGGCTGGTTAGTAGCTTCTCCTCAGCACTTGTGTTGCATCCTATGGCGAACTTTACCATCACATTCAGCACTTCCCATTAAATGTTCAATTAGTGTATGTCTGCTTCCCCGGTCCCCCCACCCCTGAGGCTGAGAGTTCCTTCAAAGACGGGACTGTGACTTAGTCACTTTCTTTGTCATTTCAGCACATACTAGATCCTTGGCAAAAAGTGGGTGGGTGGGGGGGGTAAAAGGAGCCATGGTGTGAATGCCCTGGAGAAAGAACTTGAGACCAGGAATTAGAAGACTAGCCACCAACTGGCTGTGTGACATTGGACAAGTCATCTCTCCTCTTTGGGTCTATTTCTCTATTTGTAAAGCCCCTTTTGGCTCCAACAGACTGGGATTCTTGAAAATTCCTGGTAAGTGCATCATGAATGCAAGGGTACACTCCTCTGCCCTAAATGCGATGGGCCAGGTTGATGTGGCAGTACTCAGATGTGCCCAGCTAGAAACTCAGCCCCAGCCTGTCTTCTGCCCCCAAGTGCTACAGTGACTCCTTCTCCTATGGGGGCTTATTTCTGTGTGGGTGCAGGTGGCAGGTGCCCTGGCCGAGGCAGGAGTGGGGCTGGAGGAGATCACAGAGCGAGTGAACATGGTTGCCAAGGCCATGGGTGAGTGCCAGCCCAGGGATTGGGGAGGGGAAGAGAGGAGGCTGAGGCTTACCTTGGGACTAGGAGCATGTTCCCACCAGCTCCATAGGAAGTCTCACCAGGGTGTTCCCCAGGGGCTGAGGGAAGGTCTCCCTGGGGAAGTTTCTGTGGACTGGTAGCCTTGGGTCCCAGAGCTGAGTTTCTCTTTATGTGAGATGAAAAGTCTGGCATCCCATCTCAGTGAAGAGGCTGCCCTTGGGCAGGGCTTCCAACTACTGCTGCCCTGCCTAACGCCTGCTGCCCTGGCCAGTGCCAGGAGCAGAGCAATCATCTCGTTCATGCCTCGTTTCTCCTAGGAACCCTGGGAGTGAGCTTGTCCTCCTGCAGTGTCCCTGGTTCCAGACCCACTTTTGAACTTGCAGCTGATGAGGTAGAGCTCGGCCTGGGTAAGCTTGTGGCCACCCTGTCCCAGCCATGCCAGCTCCCTGGGCTCTACCCACATCTTATGCTCTGGGAGCCATCTGCCTGGTCCTCTGAGCTTACCTGGAGCTGTCACATGGGTGGTCTTGGTATTTTGAAATGGTTATTTGAGGCTTTTCTGGCCCAACCTGCCTGATTTCTACCTGCTTTGCCATCCACACCTAGGGCTCCAGCCACGTGGGTGTTCCATGCACTGTCCACCTCCCTGCCTGTGCTAACACCATTTTGGGTCTTCTGCCAAAATGCAGCCCTTCTTCCAAGGTCCATTCAGAGTTCCATCCTGGCTACAAAGCCTTCCCTCTCCCTCCCATTTCCAAAGCAATGGGCAGCGACCTCATGTGGCCTCGTGGTGACTGCCTCTAGTTAAAGCTTCTTACCTAGTTAAAAGTTAAGTTCCTGGCTCTCTCCACCACCAAGCCATAGCTCCCGGAGAGCAGAGACTATGTATTTTTCATTATTCTGCCCATGTCCACCCCCACACCCAGTGTACACAGCACCTAGCCTAATGCTGAGCACTTAGCAAACCCCTGATAAAAACATGATGAGCAAGTCTCCAGGCCTGAGCAGGTCAGCAGGGACCATGTCTGTCCACAGGGATCCACGGGGAAGCTGGTGTCCACCGGATAAAGGTAGGTGGACTCCCTGGCCCAGAGAGGGTGGATGGATGCTGGATGGATGGATAGATAGATGGATGGGTGAGTGGATGGGAAGGTGGGTGAGTGGCCAAGGCCTCAGACACAGTTTACTTCTGGCTCCCTCTGGCAGATTGCATCCGCCGACAAGATTGTGACACTCATGCTCGACCACATGACCAACTCTTCCAATGTGTCCCATGTGCCTGTGAAGGCTGGTAAGGGGCTATCATGCCTTCTGTCTCTCAAACCTCCTTCCCCCCTAGGTAGGGGGGCCCAGAGAGCCTCACCAGGGTGTCATGCCTGCCTATAGGCTCCTCCGTGGTGCTGATGGTCAACAACCTGGGCGGCCTGTCATTCTTGGAACTGGGCATCATCGCCGACGCTGCTGTTCGCTCTCTGGGTGAGCCTTGCTCTGGAAGGGGACCTCCCAACCCTCAGAGCTTCTTCCCTCCAGCCCTTTGAAGCTGAGCATAAGAAAAGCAGCTGAGGTGGGGTCTTGTGATGGTCCAGAGCATGGACTGTGCAGTTGGATAAAGCCCTGAGTCAGGTCTTCACTCTGCCACCTAATTGCTGCAAGCCTTGAGCCTGGTCCTTGTGTATAGAGAGGGAATAAAAACATTAGTACCTGCCTCCAGGTTGTTGTGGATTAAATAAGATTAAACATACCAAAGGCACTTATCACAGTGTCTGGCACCTGTAAGAGCTCAGTAAATCAGACCTGTAATTACCCATCTGCCTCTACAGAAGGGACATCTCCAGGGGACATGGTAATTTAGGGCTTTATGAAGGAACGCCCTGAGCAGATCTGGCCATCTCCCTACTGACCTCAGGGCCCCAGCTTCCCAAGTCCTTGTTTTTCTCTTATTCCATTTATTCCTCTGATGCTCCAGGCTTGGGAGTGGGAAGCATTACCCTTCCCACTTTCCCTCATAGATGTCCATGTTTTGGAATTGCAGAGGGCCGCGGGGTAAAGATTGCCCGTTCCTTCGTGGGCACCTTCATGTCAGCCCTGGAGATGCCTGGCCTTTCTCTCACCCTGCTGCTGGTGGATGAGCCCCTCCTGAAACTGATAGGTGAGACCGGGGACCTGGGGCATCCGAGCCGGGGCTCCTTATAACTAGAAAGAGCCAGGGGGATTTGGAGAAACCCTATCAGGGCTGACCATGACAGTTGGGCTCCCGTGGAAAGGCTTTTTCTGACTTCTTGAGCCTTTTCCAGCCCTCACGTGACTGTGGAGGAGTTGGTATCAGGGTCTTCCCCAGGGACGCCACCCCCACCTCCCCTTATATGTAGTAGATACTCAGTACTTGCTTTTTGAGATGGAGCCAGGCCACCAGGTGGGGAATCCGGGTCCCACTTGATCTCTGGCCAACGGACCCATGTATAAGAGAATCATCCTGTCCCTAGATGCTGAAACCACCGCATCAGCCTGGCCTAACACTCCCAAGGTCTCTGTGACTGGGCGGAAGCGGAGCCGGGCAGCCCCCACTGAGCCCCTGGAGGCCCGTGATTCCACCGCTGCAGGAGGTACCAAACCCCACTGTTGGCGCAGGTGGCCCAGGGTGTTGGCCCGAGCCCTGGAGGGTGCAGGGTTTGCAGGGCCTGGGCACCCATACCTCTCACACCTTCAAGTTCAGTTGTGAAAGGGCCAGGCAGGCCTCCTCCCCACTGTCCTCCCTCTCTAGGGGTAGCCTCGAAGAAGGTAGTGCTTGTGCTGGAGCGCGTGTGCTCCACCCTCCTGGGCATGGAGGATCATCTGAATGCCCTGGACCGTGCTGCTGGTGACGGGGACTGTGGCATCACCCACAGCCGTGCCGCCAAAGGTTGGTGCCAGGGTTCCTCTGGGGTCAGGAAAGGGGCTGGTGGCACTTTGGTTCTGAGACGTTGGCATTACGTGAACAGGGACAATTTCAAAATCATTTGGAGTGCTGACATGACTTGCCAACTTTTTTGTCAAGTGTGGTCATTCACAAAACCTAGCACCCTTTCTACCTGTTTTCATAGAGAAAAGGCCCTTCTGACATTATAAACGTGGGAAGGTTATTACAGAACAAAATGTAATATTCTGTAGTGAATAATAACTTTAGATTCAAAGGGAACTCATTCTATTGTTCTCATTTTTTTGGCTTACCCAGGCTAGTTCTCTATTATCCAGCATCATTTGGTCAAAAAAAAAAAAAAAGTATTTAGTGCCGACCACAGGCCAGGCTCTCGACTCTGTGGATATAATAGTGAGCAGAGCAGATAAAAATCTCTGCCTTTGTGGCTTGTGTTCTGGCAGGGAGACAAGCAATAAACAATCAGTAAGAGTACAGTAGAGCAAAGGCCTGAGGAGGAAAATGAAGCAGAGAAGTGAGCTATGGATGGTCAGGCGAGGGTGCCCAGGCAGGCCTCACCCGCTGGGTGAACGCCGAGGTCCCCGTCAGTCACCATTTTCCCCACCTCTCCAGACTGCACACTGGGTATAAACAAA